TGCTGGATTGTTGTTGCCCCCTTAATCTGCCAAAATAAATCTAAATTGAATTGTTAATGGATATTCCTGGATTAATGGGCTAAACCTCTCAAGTAAGACATTTGCATTGTAACAAATTGGCTTCCAAAGACAATGGTACCATGGTTGGCTACTGGAAAATTTCCCTTATGGAAGGTAAGCGATTAAGTGATTTTGACTATTATAAATACACAAATTAAAAATAAAGGACATATGAAGAAAGACACTAACTGCATATAGAGAAAGAATTGGTAAATAGAAGTATATATAGAATAATTTTACATATATACTTGTGTGTGTGTGTGACTAACTGACCGATGGCTACTAGAGATGCTTCAAGGCCTCAAGAAGCTTACATTCCACCAGAAAAAGAGGGCAAGTGAGTAGTTGTTTGTTCAAAGAGGACCATGACATCAGGAAGATGATGCCATGACTTGCAAGTGAGTTGGATTTAAGTGAGGGAGGGCTGTGCAAGGTCACCAGCCTCACTTTCTTCTCCAGAGCTATCTGTGTCCATTGGCCAGATATAGATCAGGATGACTGGAGATGGCCCCAGATGCAGTAAAAGAAAGATGGAAAAAAATTAAAAATAAAAATAAAAAAGAAAGATGAAGTAGGAATCAAGAAAGAGAGGTGAGTGGAAAGGAAGAGAAGAAAGGTAAGATAATAATTGAATCAAAGAGAGAAGAGTCATTCAACAGTTATCAAAGAAGACATTTACTTAGCCATGGCAGGAGAAGGAAAATCAGCAAACTACAATTTGAAGGAAACCAGGGATTTTAGGAGGTGGAGGTGTGGAACCCTTGCAAAGGCATGTAGATAAGAGATTAAGTATTTTTAGTGAAGAACAGCAATACTAGATTGGCTGGATTGTAGCATGGATAAAGCAAAGTAATGTATGGTAAGGCTGAAGAGGTAGGTTGGGTCCACAGTGTGAAGGGTTGGTTTTAAATGCCCACTGCATAAAGTCTCCCAACTACAGATATTAATGATCAAGAGGCGATAAAATTCCTTCACATATGGCTCATTGCCAAGTTTCATTGCATTTTTGGACATTCTAGTCTACTATTAGTTGGAGGGTGCCAAGTGATGTGTTTCTAGGGCTCTCACATAATTTGCTATACATTTTTTTTAAACAAACTATGAATACCTTTGTATTTCACTGTTACCTCTTTTAGAGACACATATCTAGAGTGGCACAAGAAATCCATTTCAGGATTCAACATTTTCTTGCTTACCTCTCCACGGAAAATAGCATTTTTTTTTAAGGGAAAGAAAACTGCAGCGATGAGATGGCTAAACTCTGATTTCTGCTGAAGCAGCTGTTGATGGAAATGATCTTGGATGCTCCAGGCTGCTCATTCTAACTTTGGAAATTGTTCTACCTGCTGACTTTGAGCTTCTCTCTTGACTTGATGGCTGTGGATAATTTGGGCCCCTGGCTATGAAATGTGAACCTGTCTAAAATCTGCATTATTAATGGAGTCTATAGAAGAAGGATGAGCTAACATGGGCTCTGGTTACTTTTGCCAAGGGACCAAAGAGAAAAACTGTTTCTTGAGATGGAAAAGGGCAAAGGGATTAGCCTGTTGCAGAGGCTGAATGCCAAGTAATGACAACCTCATCCCCAAAATGGTCTCTTACACCCTGTTCCCTGGAGGGAATGGGAATCATGACTGAATAAGAGATGAGGGTGATATATTTATCGATCAATCAATTGGCAAAGCATAATTAAGTGCTTACTACATACCAAAGAGCTCAGCTAGGCAACGAGAGAGTGAACCTAGAAAGGAAATAGTCTCTGACCTAAGGAAACTTTCATTCTATTATGGGGAACAACATGTACATGACCTCAACTTTATGGAGCCAGACAGAAGAATGTTGGGTGTCAGGTATAAGGCACTTTTACTTATACAGACATGCTAACCTCCATCTCTTAATGCTACCAGCTTATTCCTTTCTCTTCACCAGTTCACAAGCAGTCTGTCATATGACTTTCTATCTCCAAGATCACTAATAGTGGAGAAATTCTCTCTCAGTTCTTTGTCCTCACCTCCTCTGGAGATAGCAATACCCCTGCAGGAAGTGTGGCATGTATACAAGATATTGAAATAAATAAATAAATAAATAAATAAATAAAATATAAAATAATATAAAATAAAATAAAATAAAATAAATAAAATAAATAAATAAAGATAATTTGGTGGGGGTTGGGGAGTTTGGTTGGGGGAAGAGGCACTGAAAACCAAGTGAGATCCAGAAGGGCCTCATGAAGAGGTGGTGATTAATCAGAGCTTTGAAAGAAACCAATGATTCTACAGAACACTAAATATAGTACCTGGGCAATCAGGTCAGAGTCCTGTCTATGGGCAACATGACAGATGGCACCTATACCCTTCATGCAATCTGGTTTAACTCAACCGATGTCTATGGTGAGATATGGAAAACATTGTTAAGGGCTGGCGATACAGAGAAAAAAGCAATAATTAAACAGCACCAGTTCATGAAATCTTAGCAGCCCGTGTTTATACACCATTAGCAGCTCCCACCATGCATCCAAAGCAATGATCCTCTCCACTATTTCTCAGAGCTAATGAGTATGACACAAGATGGAATGTGACAAGGGCAAAGGAGAGGTCCAGACAACATTTCTTTCATTTTAAAGCAGACCTGTGATTTTATGCATCTAGGTAGCTCTCAATAACTAAACTCCTTTCACTGATGCAAAATCAGCACCTCCTTAGCAATTTACAGTCTCCCAAAGAGCTGCCTGGGGAAATGAGAGGTCAAGTAACCAGCCCAAGTTCACCCAGCTCATATATGTCAGAGGCGGAATGTGTCAGAATCCAAGTCTTCTTGGCTCGAGACCAACTCCCTCTCCATCACTCCATGCTGGCTCTCTCCAGACAAGGTACTCTCAGAAAAGGATCTGAGCATGGAGGAAATCATTGGGGATACCTCCCACCATAGATACTATATACCTAAGTTTTTTAGGTGGACATACCCTTCAGAGGATATGTTTTCTATAAGACTATAATAATCTATTGTATTTTTAATTTTTTTTAATTATTTTTTTCAATTAACATGCATTTATTTTCTTTCCCTCTTAGTGTTCCTCCATTGAGAAAAAGTAAAAAACAAAACCTTTGTAACAAATATGCGCAGGAAAGAAAAATAAACCCTCACATTGGCCATATCCAAAAGCACATGTCAGTTCTGTGGAACTATCTCCATAATTGTCATCTCACACTCAGATTTGGTTTGGATTTATAGAGTTTATCTATTTTCACTACTTTCCTCATCTTTAAAATGAGTGAATTGGATTAAGTGACCTCTGATGTTGCCTTCCCGCTCGACGTCTACTATTTTATAATTCTGTTATCTATATCTCTGTTTCTCTTCACAAAGTCTGGTTGATATGATTACCTATTCATCTGGACAAATGGGGAAAGGCTGCATCATAAAGTATGGGGAGGCTGCAAGCAGGCCAGTAGGGCCCTCTGGGTCCTGGTTTCTGGAACACAAATGGTGTAGTGCTCCATTTTGGAGTTTATTAGATCAGAATAAATTAATTGTGTATGTTTGATTTTTTTTTGTTTTTTTTTTAAAAATGTAATTTTGAAAAATATGTTTAAAGATTCAGGGATGAGGTACAAAAATGTGATTTTTTTTTTCCTAACACAAAGGGCAAATGTGGTTCGATGAGAAACAATTCTGGATTTGGAATCAGAGAAACTGGGTTCAAATTCCAGCTCTATCATTTACAATGTGTGTCACTAGACCTCACTGGGCCTCAATATCCTAGGTAGAAATGAGGAAATTGGACTAAATTGGCTCCTAAATGTGCTTATAGCCCAAAACTTAGGACCCCATGAAGCCTATCCTTGAACAGTGGCTGGGCTTGCCAAAACTCACTGTCTAGAGCCCTGACTCCCTGATAAGGAAGACTTGGTCAGAAGAAGTCATTCCATTCCTTTAAATCTGGACTCCAGACAGTGGGCTGCAGCTTTTTCCTAGTCAGCCACCAGTAAAGAACCCAACTATTGACTTAAAATCTTTTATTTTTTTCCTGCCCTTCACTCAGCTCACCTCAGTTTACCATCCAACAGCCTGGGGAATGTTGTAGGCCTGGGTTGTAACTCCCGAAGGCTATTCGGGAGATATGGGTTGCTAAATCATACAATGAATCAGTTTTACCACTAAAGAATCATTGTCTCCCTCATCGCTGTCATCATCGTACTCTTTACTCCCGAAGTTGCCTTTAATATGCTTTTCAATGAGGCTATGGAAGATAAGTTCACTTCTCAACACTTTTAATTAAATTACTAAAAAAAAAAAATCGTTTTGTCTACCTGTGGAATAACATGTCAAAAACTAAACATAAAAGAAACTAATGTCATAGTGACTTGTCCCTGAACCATTTCTATCCATATTCCATTAAAAAGAAGACAAAATAAAAACAATAATAATTAATAATAATAGAAACAGCAGCAGCAACAAAAACACCAGTTCCCAAGGAGCTCGTCTCCAAGCTAGGAAGAATTGAATTCAAGTATCCTCTCCCTCCAATTTACATAGTAACATCTCAAACGTGGAAGGAATATTTATGGCTTTCCTTTGGGGAAGACTGTCTACTATGCTTGAGCAAAAATGAGATATTGCTTCATTTTCCCCTTGTTTGTATATTCACCTTGGACTTTTTTTAAGCTGAGAATTATATCGATATCAATCAACAAACATTTATTAATCAATTTTTATGTGTCAGGAACCTCCATATACAGAGACAAAAATGAAATCATCCCTTCCCTCAAGGAGTTCCACCCACTGTTCTCACTTTGGAAGGATTTGGTTCATTCATTTATTCACTCAATAATAAGTACCTACTATGTGTGTGAGGGCTACAGGTGGGGCGGTGATGTGCAAAACATACTCTATTAGGAGAATGATATATACACCTACAAGTATGTACAAGATATATACACATGCTTACTTTGGCAGCACATACACTAAAATTGGAATGATACAGAGAAGATTAGTATGGCCCCTCAGCAAGAATGACATGCAAATTTGGGAAGCATTCCAGTAAAAATAACAAAGATATGTGCAAAATATATACAAGGTGTATGCAAAATAAATAACAAGCTAAATTGAGGAGAAGGAGCTAGCTAGCTGGCTAAGGAGTCAGGTATAGCTTCATGTAGAAGTTGGTTCTTAGGCTAAGGTTCGATGATATTTAGGGATTCTAGAAGGCCAAAATGGAGGGGTACATTCCAGGGAGGGCAAGGCAGGTAGCTGCAAAGACAGAGACGGAATAAGGAGTGCCATGTGTAATGACCAGTTTGGCTGGACTTTGGCATGCGGGATGCATGAAGGGGTCACTCCTAACATATTAGCTGACCAAGCAGGATATGCCCTCCCAGGTAATAAGTTGTCTTAAGCCATTCGAAAGTTACATCTGCAGAAGCAGCTACGTGGCACAGTGGATACAGAGAGTGGCCCTGGAATCAGGAAGACCTGAATTCAAATCCAGTCTTAGATACTTACTGGCTGTGTGACCCTGGGCAAGTCACATAAAATGATTACCTCCAATTAAATAAAGTTACATCTGCAGAAGACCATAGAGGTATGAACCTCCTACCGGCTGCTTTAGATACTTCAGCAATTACAGGAGAATTGGGGGCAAGCAGAAGTACAAAAGATACCTGGGGTCTAAGTAGATCACTTAAAGATGCTCAAATCATACCAAACCTGTAAGAAGACCTTTCATGCTCAAACTATTACCCAAAACATTGATGGATTACAACACAGGCAGTAAGACTTCATGGGATTTGCCATGTGCATTTGCTGTTTCTTGAGAAATGCAGCCAGTTCCATAAATGTGGCGTGGCTGATTTTTCAAGCTTAATTAATTCTTTGCCTGGTCAATGGGGTAGAACACAAAACGGAGTCAAACTATCATGACTGCCCTTCCTCTGTTGTTCTCCCATTTGCTACTAAATGACTTTTGGTGCTCCAATTATGAACGTTTCTAAACAACAGTTTCAAATGACATGGTTTTACAATATTGTGATACATAGACAACAATTTTCCTATTTAATATGTTACTGAATTAATTTAAAATTACTGATTTAATATGTATCCTGTGGTGTGTTTTTATGGGTTCTTTTTCTACATTAAGGAGAAGACTCTCTGGGAGTAATAAATGTACCCCTAAGATGTGATTTTTTTTTTTTAAGCATCAGGACCCCATTCATTTATCTTCTTCCATGGCTGTTACTGGGCTTTTGGGGGATAGGTTGGATAATTGAAGTTCACTGGAAAGAATAACTGGAGATCTGATGTGAAGTAGTAATTTTATAGGACAGAGCATAGTATCCTAGATTTACAGCTAGAAAGGACCTTTGCGGCTATCTAGACTTACCCACCTCATTTTGCAAGAATTCATTCCCTCACTCATTTAGTTACTCAATAAAGGAGCTAAAATATGTGTGTGTGTGTGTGTGTGTGTGTGTGTATAGGAGGAGGTAGATAGGTGACTCAGTGGATAGAGTGTTGGGACTGGAGTCAAGAAGACCTGAGTGAAAATCTGGCTTCAGACACTTACTAGTTGCATGACCCCGCGTAAGTCACTTAATCCTGTTTGCCTCAGTTTCCTCATCTGTAAAATGAGCTGGAGAAGGAAATGGCAAACCACTCTAGTATCTTTACCAAGAAAACCCCAAATGGGGTCACAAAGAGTCAGACACGACTGAACGATAACACATATACCAGAGCTGTGGATGTATACAACATTATCTCTGCCCTAAATGGGAAGACAAGGAAAAACACAAGAAAAATTCAATGATAATATGGAGTGGTATGTGGATCATATGAATGGAGAAAGCAGAAAGGAGAGTTCACTCTTACCTTAGGTAGATAGGAAGGTTTCATGGAACATTGAAGTGACTCTTTAAGGAAGTGAAGGATTTAAATAGGTGGAGAGGACAGGGAAGGGCATGTCAGGTAGAAGGAAGATGACTGAAGGTGCAGACATGAAAATGAACATGGCAGGCTTGAGAACAGTGAGGAAACTGACCAGGCTGAAACTGAAGGATCACTTTGCATGGTAGACGGGTAGGAAAGACAAGGCAAAGGTAAAATGAGACTAAACTACATCCTTTATTAGAAGGATAAGAAGTTCACACTTCACCTTATAAGGAATAGAAGTCATCAAAGGCTTTTAAAGAGGAAAGTAATGCAATAAAATTGTCTTATTGACGAAGATTTATCTGAATGTGGCATATAGGATACATCAGAGGGTTACAAATGAGAATAATAGAAAGCAGATAAGAGATCACTAAAATAATCTGACATGGATTATAAGATCATAGATTTAGAGCTAGAAGAGACTTTGCATTGATAGAAATCCAGATGAATGTGGTGACAGGTGGGAAAGAAAAGAATAAATGGATGGAAGGGACATTATAAAACAAATAACCAACAGCATTTCCTAACAGATTGAATATTGGGGTTGAGGAAGGATGAAAAAAAATTAATGACTCATGGGTTTCAGGAACAATAGAGAAAGCACTGAATTTGAAACAGACTTAATTCAAATCCTGGCTTACCACCAGTGTGACTTTGAATACATAGCTTACTCTCTCTGACCCTAAGTTTTCTCATTTGTAAAAATAACGCGGCTAGATCAGAGGTGTGCCGAAGCTCCAGTCAGCAGCAAATGCTACAAATCAGGGCTTGATTTATTTGTTGTTATTGTTGATTTCTAGGCATAAGAATGTGATGGAGAAAATGTTAATAATTCAAATTAAACATAAAATCACGTCTTGGGTACATTTCTTTTTAGAGAAACTGTTATTAAACACTCACCAGTATATGGCTCCTGGATTTGATGTTCTCTAAGGTGTTTCCTAAGAGTTATTTCAGCATGGACATGTTTGACTGAAGAGAAAAAATAGCTAGTCATTCTGACTGGTCATTAAGATGTGATTTTTTTTTTAAGTACCAGGACCCCATTCATTACTCTTCCAGTGCTGTTACTGGGCTATCTGGGAGTAGGATGGATAATTGAAATTCACCAAGTTCTCCCTTCAGGTGTCCTCATGGATGTAACCTCTCTCCTAGTGACTAAACTCTACTCCTCACCTTGGAGTGGAGGATGGGACTCTTGAAATCTGCCAAGGACAAGTAATGAAGGAGAGACGTTCTCCAGAGTTGCTGTCTCAGGGAGGGTTTTTCTTCTGATTTACTAAAACTTCTCCCATCACACTGCTGGTTCATTTTATATCTGTCTTTCTGTCCACTTCAGAGGACTCGTAATAATAGATAGAAATAAAAATCTCTTTGATTCATCTCAAGCCTCCAGCTGGTCATCCAAGCAACTGAAAATAATAGTAAAAGCCAACCTTCATATAGCACATCAGGGCTTGCAAAGCACTCAGTATATGCTCTCTCATTAGATTTTGCAACGGCTCTATGAGGTAGTGCTATCATTTTTTTAGTTTGTTTATTTTAGACAAATGTTAAAACTTGAATACATAATAAGAAAAGAGAAACATGATAAACATATATAAAATAAGAAAAACATATATAAAAGAAGAAAAGAAAAGAATATAAAATATGTCATGTGCGCAGCAGAACATAGGAGAGGATTCAAAATATATAGCAATAACTTTTCATTTCAAGAAAACCTATATATTAGATACTGTGCATTATGTTGAAAACTGACATTACTTTCTTCCCTTCCTTGTAGGTTTTCTTTTGTCCTCTGCTGTAGGTAGGTGCTATTATTAACCCTATTTTATGGATAAGAAAACTGAGGCAAGCAGTTTACCCAGAGTCACACAGCAAGTAAATGTCTGAGACTGGCTTTGAACTGAGGTTGTCCTGACACAAATCCACTCTATTCGTTATAGTACTTGGAGGCCTATAAAACACAATCTCTCTGTATGTCCCAGGAATGCCAGAAACTCCTTTTTAGGTGCTTTCCCAAGGACACACACACACACACACACACACACACACACGCACACACACATGCACACATGCACTGAATGATACCTTTTAAAATTAGTTTCCTTTTGAGAACATTTAGCAAATACAGAAGCAAACAGACTCTTTAAAGAAATGAGGAATAAGATACCTAAACTCAGTGCAGGAGTCAAAGCAAGAAAAGAGATGGAGAAGTAGTAGTTACATCATGTGTTATTCTTGCCCAATAGGGATAGCTACAATCTTTTCCCAGAATCTCACTTCTGATTTTTTTTGGGGGGAAGTGGGGCAGAATGAGGGAGATGCCATGGTAGTAGTTGGTGGTGGTACTGAAGTCCTGTCTTTTCTCATTCTCCCTTCTGTTATCTCCTATAGACCCAAAGGATGTGTCAGGGGCTAGCAGCATCACTCCCTTCCTCCATCCACTGTCCTTACTAGAATCTCTTTTTGTTAGGGTGACATTGAGCCCCAAGGGCTCTTTACTATTCTTCAGTGTGCTTTATTCTTCCTTAGGTAGAATAGTTGCCGAGTTCTCTCTCTCTCTCTCTTTTCAGATCTCTAAACTCTCCAAGTCTCAAGTAGTTAACCATTGTTGAGCCTCAGTTGCAGTCTGATAATATGTCCCCATGATCCCAAAAATGTGTGATTGGAAGAATGATAAGGTGGACAAACAAGAAAGACCAGAGTGATCATTGGGTTAGGGTTGAAGAGAGATGCTGATAATAGTTTTAGGCACGAAATAACAGAACCTTGGAACTGAAACGGTCCTTAAAACCAACCCAGTCCAACCTCATCCCAATACAATAATCTTATCTTCAGTATCTTGGAAAAGTGACCAACCTTCTTCCATGACGAGGCACTCACTATCTCTAAAGGAAGCTCACTCCATTTTGGACAACTCTAATCGTTAGGGTCATCTTTCTTATATTAAATCAAAATCTGCCTATGTCTAATTCCCTTTGGAACTCTGTAAAGGAAGCTGAATTCCTTTTCAAGATGACATCCTTTCAAATATTTGTCCCGCTCAACTCTTATCAAAGAATTTCCAGTTCTTAAGAAAAAGAAAAAAAAAGCCCTTCAAGCGGCATATTTCCATTACTC